TTTCCTTCTAAGTTCATTCAAAGTGCCACTGTTAATTGGATTCTAAAGATTTTTATTTTAAAGATAAATCCATTTCTTTCTGTTCCCAGGTTTTGTTAATAGTAAAGCAATATCTTTGCAATTCAAGGTCTTATTTAATTTACCTACATACCTAGCTGATGTGAATTTTAATGCTAAACAGTTTGGGAATTTTGTCTCCTAGTGACGTCTATATTCTAGAGAAGATTTCCCTGACAAGTCATGTGTCTGTTTCAGTGCAGAGTGCAGGTGAACTATAGGAGGTTTCATTTGATTGATTAATTTTTAACATAGTACTGTGAAGATCTGAAACCTCAAGGACTGGAGACGTGTAAATATTTAAGTTTTAAACTACATGCTGAGTTTTGACTACAAAAATATTTGAAGACTTTTGGATAATCGGCATTTCCCTGTACTTCTGAAATATGCTGGGAGGTGTGAAATCAACCTATGTAAGTCCTGCTTCTGGTCACTAGTGGATACCAGTCTGCTCCCAAAAGGCTGCACAATGTTAGGTCATTGACTAGAAGTAGTTCTGGATATGTTACCAGCTGGAATTAAGATTATTGATTAACTTGAGAGAGAGTCAATGATATTTTGCTAGTACTGTGCTAGGAGCTAATCAGTATTGTTGCCCTTGATTTTGTAGGCAACAAAATTCACACAAATTAGGGAAAAAAAACAAACCTGTTTTAAGGTATGTGATAATAACATCAGTTTACTTGGTGTGTGTTTATTTACAAGTAGAAACAGTGTATGAGTTACTTAACACTTGCGTGCTATGAAATACTAAATGGAATGCTAGCAATAAACTGGTACCGTATTGCCAGGACTGTGAAAATTGGTGTTTTAAAAGAGAATATATTGTAATACACCACTAGTTCTAAGTGCTCCAGTGTAGTTGCAACATGATAAAATGTGGAAACATTTTCTGTAGATGTACATGATGACAATTCAGGACTTTCCGTTATATTTTCTGATTTAGCGTTAATGTTATTATACATCTGCTACATTTAGTCTCATCTAAAATTCTTACCTAATTGACAAAGATAAAAATTTTAAGATAACTTTTTTTAAAGTTAAAAATCTAAGAGGTACTTGATATTTGTTGGCATGGGAGAGTGGTTACTTTTTTTCTTGCTAGAATATTTATTTCTCTTTCCAGTATTTTTGCACACTTTATGTTGCTGTTGAAGAGCTCTTCAAAATTTATAAACTGGGGTTTATTGTATGATACTCTATTTATATAAATACAGGCAATAAAACTTTTGCTTTATGGAAATGAGGATTTGTAAGTGTCAAGGATATGTTTTTATTCCTCTGTAGTAACAATGTTTAGTAAATTTTCCTGATAAATTCCATGTCCAGGTGAATGCAACTACTAACTTGCAATGTCTCATTTTCTTATGTAAAGAAAACTCATTTTATAACGTTTTCAACTTGACTATACCTGTTTGTGTCAAATTTTATCATTTCATTAAATTAGATGCTTTCTTTGATACTCAGCATGTCTTTGAAATGTTTTGGATTATGAATGTGTGCATATTCTGGCACAGTACAACTACCAATTTTGGCTGTTGTGATTGCTAATCAAGCTTTCAGGCCAGTAATTACACTATTTGCAAAAACGTAAGAGGTGTGTGGTTTTTAATTATCAGATTTTTTTTCCTTGTTTTGCTTTTAAATTAATAAAGCTGTGATTTTGGGGGTGATCTGTTGTCTTCTAACAAAAAGTATAGCTGCAGACATTTCATTAGCTGCAGTTACTTTTGCATTTGCTGTTTTCTGATATCTGCTCGACTCTGATAGTGTTAACTAGATGAAGGTGGCCTTGCCTGCTAAAATGCTTTGACCCTATGGTTCATGCTGATTACATTTCATTATGGTAATTTCATTATACGCTCCAGCCTTGCCTCCCTTCCCTGATTAAGCACAAGCACTTTCTCATCGTATGCACAGGCTGCTTGCACATGAGCACCTAAGTTGTGCATGCGTCCGTGCCCAAGCAAGGACAGCAGAGCAGGTCTGGTGATGGTCACTAGGCTCAGCTCCAAGTCCAGCGATTGCCAGACAAGTCTGCAGTGACACCCCTGACGAGGCTTCTCCCTGCCTCCCACTTGCAGCCCAAGGTCCCTGCATGGTACTTCACTGCACAGCTGTATTCTGGTGGCCTCCCTCAGGATCCCCACCAGAACTGAATTTCCCCAAGAGAATTTGCCTTGTGACTCCATACAAGGGCTGGTGGGATGCAGCTGTGCCATTGCCTTCCTGAAGTGCAGATTCTTTCATCCCATGTGTAGATTCCCTAAATAAAACTCTGTCACCTGCTTCCTAATTTTTATTTGCAGCTTAGCATGCTGGACAGCTCAAACAGACTGATGGTTTAAGAATTGTTGTTCAAAACACAGCTCTCCAAAACTTACTTAATGAAGACTGGACCACCTAGCAGCCCCTTCAACAAGGCAGGCAGCCTTAAGCTGCCTCTTGTTTTTGAAGCACTGAGTAACCAGCTTCTGCTAAAGCCTGAGCTCCACTGCAGCCAAGTTTGGGACCTGTTCAATCCCCTCTCCACCTTTCCAACAGCTGTCTTACCCAATCTGTGCTTCCCTGTGTCTCTGGCAGACACCCCTTCTATACAATATTCTTTTTTTCCAGTTATGCTTACTTAAATCAGGACCCTGCCAACTACACCAGATGTTACAGGAGAAGGCAACATGATGGTGCCCCCTATGTTGATGTTAGGAGGGGTGCTCCAAACACTCTCTTAACAAGGGCAGGGGAAAAAGGTGCCAGGTCCCAGAAGTCAGTCACAAGTGTGAGAGCAGTAGGCTTGTTGTCCTGCTCCAAGTGACAGGAACCTCTCCCAGTCAGCTGCAATTGCATCATTCACTTCATACCACCCTTTACCACCCTCGTTTCCTCCCAAAGCCACCAGCAATTCGCGCCTTCCATTACTGGCCCTGGTTTTGGTGTGGTTGCCCTGGTATGGTTGCCCCGGTAACTCTCCTTCTGTCAGCCACCCATGAAACTACTATTTCCCATTTTATTCTCTACGAGGTCTAGCAGTTTCTTACACCTTCATCTGTTAGCATATTCCCAAGGGTTTGCAGCTCCCTGGTTATTCCTTTCTCTTTGGTATGTGGAATGGCTGGCAGTTTCCCACATTGCTATCCTGGTAAATGCATATATGACCCCAGCATTGCTTTACTATCAAGAATATCGAGTTCCTCACATTGCTGTCTCGTTAGTATAGCCAGGGCAAGCCATTTATTCACAAACCTTGATACAGTCTAGAGGAGCAGGTGAATGAAAAGCACATAGCAGAAACTTTCTGTTGTATCCTGCTTGCCTAGCCCTGTATCATTGCTGCAGGACTGGATGAACAAGAAGAGTCTTCACTAAAAAAAGGGAAACTGTAGCATTAACCACTCAGATGATGTGTTCAAATATTTACACACAAGACCACTTATTCAAGGATGGTCTCTGTATGGGGGTAAAGTGCTATAGCCATCTAGTGGTAGACTATTTTATTAGGCCTGGGTAGTCTCGGTAACCAAGAACTATTTGCAAGTAACATTTTACATAATATGTATACATGCACAAAATACCAATTTCCCAAAGTGCGATAATGCAAAAGACTTAAATGTTAGGAAAACAAGCGTCATTATTAACAGTGCCATTTAATTTACCATTTACTGAATACCGTTAAACACTAAAATACAACAGTGATAGCACTACAGCACAAAGCATGGTGTGTGCCATGTTGACATCATGTTCTTGTTTGCTGTACGAGATTGACTCATACTTCAGAAGTCCTCCCCCTTCCCAGTGACAGTAACTGCATCACTGTGTCTTCTAAGTAGAGGGGGGAAAAAAACAGATCACCCGCTAACTTGTTCGTCCACTCACTTTGTAGTAACTTTGAGTAATAATAAGTCTTGAAAACAAAGAAATTCCTCGACTTAAAATGGAGACGTCTAGAAATAAGCACAAAGCTAGCAATCTTAATAAGGCACTAAATCTAGCTGTTAAACCTGAAACCTGATTGTATGAAACACGTATGTAACCAAGGTTTATTTAGAGTGCTTTGAAGTATTTTATTTATTAATTCACGAAGAGTATTTTCAAAGTTAGATTTTACTTTAATTGTGTTATCTTAAGAGAGAAAAGAATTCTGCTACGTGCTGTAAGTAGCCTGGGTAGTAACAAAATTGGGAATTGTGCAGAAGTTTATACAGTTAAAATCATCACACGCTGGCTGTATCCTGGTACTTCTGCATAGACTCCCACCAAGAATGAAGGCTGTGGTTAGAACTCAAGAGTGGTTGAAATCCCCGAGCCTAACTAGACATCCTCCAACTGCTTAATATCAGTGCAAAAGGCAAATACCTTGTACTCCACTTTTTGTTAGAATTACATCACCTGTTGCTGGTAAAACAAAACAGGAGTTACCATATATCACTGAAAACAGCAGTGTAACATACAATACTGACACACATAGTTAATGTAGTCAGGTATTTTTTATTTGAGAAGAGAACATTTTCAAGATGCAAAATACCCTCCCCATGTTCAATACATTTGTATTAAAGCAAATGAAATTAAAAAAAAATATATATATTTATATTAAAACCCCACCAAATGTCTTCAATATGAATTTCCTGTGAAGTATTCTAGAACCTCTACCAAAACCAGTAAAAAGATACCTACAAAACTTCAGTTTCTAGCAAGTCCAATCCTGTAACAGAACACTCCTCGTGGATACAAAATGGTTGCATATATACAGCGAGATACCCACAGAAGTGTTCTCCTTGCTGCATAAAATAATTTTCAAAGAAAACATTCTTCACTGGCCGTACATGGCACATGTAACAGCATCTTTTCAGTGTATTTGTTAGAAATAAATGCACTGTAAACATGCTGTTAGGCAAGAAAGCTACGGTACTGTTGTCCCCTCTGAAGCTCTAAATATATGCTAAGAAAAATCAGTTGTTCCTCCCAGTATCAAACGGGAAGTATTCGGGGAATTCATGAATAATTTTTAGTGCTTCGTTGTAGATTTCCAGATCTGAAACAGGGCAAAGAAAATGGTTATGATGCATAAGCTAAATTCCCCACAAGCAAATGACAGCATTAAAGCACTGCTTATTTTAAAGCAGTATAGCTGAGCATTCCCAGTTCCCCTCATTCTCCCCAGTTTTCCCAAGGCAGCCATGCTCTCATTGCTTGCTTTCTGGAGGGTTAGTTTTAGGCCTGCTAGGTGCACAATCACACCAGGTCCACTGCACGGCAAGAACCACGCAGTCAGGAGCAGGAGGATGATCAGACCGTGGCAGTGATCTAGACTGGCTCCAGCTTCAAGTCAGTCCTTACAGTTTCACAGTAAACCAGTATATTCTGTACATAATTTTTGCCATGACACTCTCTTTTTCTACATTCTACTCCATATCTGGCAGCTTAAAGACCTTATCTGGTTCTTCCTTCTTACTTATCAAAGAAGAGTTCAGAACACAAAATTGATTTGTCATAATGTATATTCTTACTTACCAAATGGACTTTTATCTTCTCTGAACTGGACGTATGACACGCACATGATGGTCGCCTGATTCGTTACTCTTCCCACTACTTCAACAACTCCTGAGATCTCTTCCTCTAGCTAGAAAACATACCAAAAATTAAATCACTATTACCAAATTAGCTGCTATCTCTACTGCAGGGCACTTGAGCTAGGAACTCTTCACAACTGAAGGTTAAGGTTTGTTCATGACAATAGATTCTGTTCCATGTCAACGAATACAGTACTACTGAACACCCCCATCCCTCTCCCAAAAAAAACCCACAAAAGCCTTGAGCCACTTAAATATCTACAGTTTTTGCAACAGGCAATTCAGTACCAACTAAAAAAAACTAGGAAAAAGCATGAGAGGGAAAATACCACTTTGTAAGTATACAAAACTGTGCCATTTAATCACTGAACAGAGACTAATCTAGGACAGAGAGCAGAAGAATCTGTACTTTAATGCATTGCATTCAAACCTGAGTTAATTATTGAACTCTAAGAGCTAAGGAGGTTATCAGGCATGCCAGAGAGCAGTTCCAGTATTCCAGATTCAGGAGGTATAATCAGAAATGATTTCGTAAGTAACCAGTCAGTAAGTGTTCAGAATACAAAGACATTGACAGTAACAAGCCCTTGACTGAATAAGAAAAAAAAAAAAAAAAAGGCTAAAAATACTATCTTACTCCAAAATCGTATAGCTTGAATATGTTTTCTGTCCTTTTTTAAGATACCCATTTTAAGACTGTGGTACTATTTCAGTAACGTTCTTCCAATATCTAGCTCTTACTTTTATCTTTCTAGTAAGTTTCCTGGAACACATCAATAGATTCCCTCCCCATAATTCTGGGGTTCCTTGTTGAAAGAAGGAACTACACACACACACACACAAAGGAATCTATTAAAGAGGGGGGAAAAGTGAGAAAGCATTTTGATTAGCAAATCCTGAAGTTCCTCCATGTACATCAGACAAACCAGAGAGATGAACCCTGCGTGTTTTTTTTGCAGACAGCACTTTCTCCTCCCTTACACACTGACACAGCAGTGGAACGCAGACTGTGATGTGCCCAAAACTGCAGTTATGCATTTATGAAACTCGCACATTCCCTCTGTCATGGCAAGTTGTGGAATCACTGGTCAGATTCTGACATTTGAAGTTTTGACTGCCCAAGGCAGGAAACCGTTTCAGGAGATTGGGAAAAGAGTTAAGAGATGGGCAGAACTTGTAAAAAAGAAATTTTCTTGCAGATGAAGTTAGCAAGCTTCATATATATAAGACAAAACTTTTTGCCAGATCAAACTGCATTTTTCATTAACAAGGAGAGACTCCTGTCTTGAAAGTTAAAGAGTACCACATGCACTTATTTCACATGGAAATGGCGGGATTTCTCAGTGTTTAACAATACATGAAGAGAAAAAGATGTAGACTACACACATGCTCCGATAAGCTAGAGCGTTCTCCATCACAAAGAAAATAATCCTTTAATTACAACATTTGCTAGAGAAAAAAAAATACTTAAAGACAGAAGAGAATGCCAGGTTGTTATTCCTTTAGTGGTACGTGATAACAAAGGAAGCAATATTTTTGTGCAGTATTTAGAAGCACATCTTATTTCATTGTTTTTTAATTTTTTAAGAATGAATGCTTAAAGTTAACTGAAGTTTACTGGAATGCTATGACAAGTGTTCTAAGAGGATATAGAGACATCAACTCAAAACACTCTTGAGAATACCACATTCTTGGGGTTTTTTTATTATCTTCACAAAATATTCTGTTAGGCATATGAGGATAAAGGCAGTAAGAAAAAGTCAGGAAAAAGTGAAATCAAAATAAAGCTAATACCTGTGGTGGAATATATTACACTGTAAACAACAAATACCTAAGACAAAGTAGCTCGACAGGGATGTGTCTGGCAGGGAGTAAGTTCTCTCTCTTAACACCAACTAAAAATTGATGAAGACCAAGGCAGTTCATTAATATGAAGACTGCAAGTTAGCTAGAAGACGTAAGGAGCGGGGGCAATGAAACATAGGCGGAAAAGGGAGAAAACAGGGATATTATTTTTTTTTTTTGCCTTGACTGAAAACTCAATACATGCCGAGGCATGCACAGGTTTCAGAAGGGACAAAACCTCCGGTATCCACAAGAGGCAACATCAAGTATTTCCAAAGTATTCCTGAACTTACCGGTTCGCTCAGCTCCACAGTCGTATGTTTTCCTTCTCCATCCGAAAGCACGAAAAGCTTCCCCGTGGGATGAATCTACAACAGATATTACGCCTGCGGGCTCAAAAGGCGGCCGTAAGCGTTACCGCTTTAACCGCTTCAACCACAACTGCACAACGGGCCCTTCCCCGTTGAGATACGACCGTTACGGCCTGACTGGGGCCGCCGGCCTCCCTTCAGGCCAGAC